AGTACCGAGCTCATAAACCAGACAAAATCATAGCAGCAGCCGTTCTTACCTCACGGTATAAGCATAAAAACGTTAATAAAGTAACAACAAATATCTATTAAATCTATAAAGTAACAAATACATATTAATTATTACTCAAATTATTATTTCAGTCGTTTTTAATGTATCAAGCATCTATATGCAAAGAAAAGCCAAAAACTATGGTTTTTATCATTAAATGAAGATATAGCTTAAAGTTGCTTTGCGGGCCTTATGGCATAACCAGGTTTCATTCACCCGGGCACCTGGGCAGTTGCAAACTTTGCCAGCCAAGACAGTTGGTAAGTTATTTGGTTATAACAAATAAAAGATAAAAAACACAATTATAATTTTAGGATAATCTTAACTATGACATCAGTTACATTTATAAACTTATATTACAGTTTTGGCATCTGGCCAATTATTACTGGAACTTTGAATTTAATTTTTTTTAACGCTTTGTTACTCGAAGAATGTGTGTGTTTGTAAATTCACTTGCTTTTTCTTCAGATTTTTGGGTAATTATTGATTTTATACGTTAATCCATTCTGTATCTTAAGCTGTTCTCAACTACCTTTTATATAATGACAAATTAAAATTTAGTTGCTTCATTGCTGACCATCTTATAACTTTTTTGCTTGTAAAATCAAAAATATTTAAAAGATTGCTTCTCAAGTTAATAAGACGTATAAAGTTTGTGATATTCTTAACCCTATGATGCTTTCAGTTCTTTCTCTTCTAGATTCAGCAAAAGCCCATAGATAATATAGAGAATAACTTATACAAAGCTGATGAAAATGTGTGTGAAGGCACTAAACATCTAGGGATGGTAAGTTGTTCAAAGATGTATATTTATCTAACATTCAATGATTATTTTATACGAGTTATGTACAGGATGTCTGTAAATGACTATACACATTTTAAAGTGTAATATCAATTAAATGAAAGGTATATTTTCATCGACATACTCTCATGTTTTATACCACTTTTACACGACCTCGGAGAACATTTTAACCCTACATTTGGAAGCCGGCAGTGATAATAAAATGTGCTGTTCCCAGCAAGATGGGTTACGACAATGCCACCTGTTTGTATTCCCCAAATCTAATTCAAGTGGAATTTTTTATGTTGAGACACTCACATATATAGATTAAAATCCCTGTATAGCTACACATTCCAAACATAAAGATTCCATTGATGACTCTTCTGCTACAAAATCCAGGACAAACTATAATACTCACGAATATGTACATCCCTCACCAAGCAGCGGGGTTGAAGAGAAGCGGAAAAAAGCTTCTGAACACCCCTGGTTGTCCTCAAACACGTTGAGGTTGAAAGGACGTAACCAAAATTACCACCCAGAGTATAAGTAAGTACAAGGTATACTCAATCTCACTAGTTTCAGCCTTAAAGAAGATTCAACATTTCACCACCGTTCCAAAATGGTGGCTATTGAATAAAAAGAGCAGTCCATTTTGTGGCACAAAGGATTCAAGATTCTTGTTCTAATGCACTACCGACTCTGCCAATAGCAACAACAAACAATGGCATGAGTAGTATAAGGACAAATAATCTGTGTTTTTTTTAAGAGGAACACCAGAGGTCCAGTGTAAGTAAAGACACTGTCACCTCAGTAAGCATACCTGGACATCCTGGTTTGACTGGGTCTGGAGCATACATTAAGCTTAGAAAATCAGGTAGCTGCACTTTCAAGGATGTGTCGGGTGGGATAAAGCACTAGGGCTAAAAATTTTAGGTGGGGGAGGAGGCCGTCTGTCGGTCCTTTTCAGGACTAGGAGGAGGACCCTGGTCCAATTCTCAGAATTTTGGTGTGGGGGGAAACGAGAGTACCCCAAGAAAACCTCTTGTATACCTTGTATGCTTCTTTAAACCAACTTATAAACTAGTGAGATTGAGTATACCTTGTAGGCTTCTTTAAAACAGCATAACAACTAGTCAGATTGAGTATACCTAGTAGGCTTCTTTAAAACAACATAAAAACTTAGTGAGATTGAGTATACCTTGTAGGCTTCTTTAAAACCAACATATAAACTAGTTAGATTGAGTATACCTTGTAGGCTTCTTTAAAACAGCATAAAAACTAGTCAGATTGAGTATACCTAGTAGGCTTCTTTAAAACAACCTAAAAACTTAGTGAGATTGAGTATACCTTGTAGGCTTCTTTAAAACCAACATATAAACTAGTTAGATTGAGTATACCTTGTATGCTTCTTTAAACCACTTATTATTTATCTTGACACGTCAGCGGTGCCCTCGAGGCATATTACAGTTTCTTTGGGAGGCATGCTCAACCTTTTGGCAAAATTTTCGTTCAGCGTGTAATATTGTAAGCCTTGAGAACAAACGCAAAGTATAATGTACATTTGAAAAATGTTTAAACCTTTTAATTATATATTTTAAAACAACTAATACATAATTAACTAAAATATAATAATCAAGACCTAATTACAAGTATAATGTACATTTGAAAAATGTTTAAGCCTTTTAATTATATATTTTAAAACAACTAATACATAATTAACTAAAATATGATAATCAAGACCTAATTACAATTTAAACTGTATCTGTAACTGCTATAGTCAGTCAAACAGCCAACTATACAATAGCCAATTTCATGTATTCCGTGATGACAACTTGGTGCCAATTTCAAAATAACTGGAACCTTCTTGATTTGCTGAGATAACAATACATTTGTCAAACACACTAAGTGATACTCATCCCCTTCTTGTTTGTCTTTTTATAATCTTTGCTAATAAACCTTACTATGCTGATGGACATGTTTATGACAAATAGAAAAGACATTTTCTCCTCTACCTGAATCTAATCTGGACTGTACTCACACATGGACTTCATAGGTAAAATAGAAAGGGATAGGTGCCCATTCCTTAGATTGAATAAATCAGGTTTGGTCTGCTTTTCAATATAGGGTTTCGTGGTCATCCATTGCATTGTCTCTGGTGTGAACGTTCCTTTGGTCATATACTGGTTATGTCATCCAGTGGGAGAGAAACTGTTATTTTAGCTCAACTGAATAATGATGGCTAGAAACAATAGAGAAACCATAGAAGTAATGAAACACATTAAAAATAATTTAATCTTAAATAAGGATGAAGGATTAGCAAATCAAAAAGAAAGTAGATGGCATGATATTTTTTAAGTATATAAAGTAGTAGTCACATTACTTTGGCTTTTTTGTATTCATATGTTGCACAGCATTTGGTTTCACTCCTGAGGATGACGTGAATGACGTCAAAACATGTAGAATGTCTTTTTACGACTGTTGATTGGTTTTTAAATAAAATTTTAATTGTATATTATACAATGTTGATCGTTGAGTATTTTAATATATTTTATAACTCAACCATTTAAAGAAACGATTCAATTTAAATGTTGCAAAACACAATTATATTCTAATTTTTTGTTTGTCATTTGAATTTTATATTTTTCTGTCAGCTTTTAAATTTTGTCACCAACAATTTGTTTCAGGCAATCGGATATCTTGAGGCCAGATATTGGTAAAAAAATATATGCATATTTAGTGTTGAGAATGGGACCAAATTTTGGTTCTATGTAACACCAAGTAAGATCTTTTTATTATAGAAAAAAAAAATTGATAGACTCAAAGTCTTTAAGAAAAACTACTGGTACACTAATACAGAAACTGCCAGAACATTAAAACAGCATCTGATAATTACAAGTATGCAAGCCAGTACGGTCAAGCAGTTTTGGCTGTGCTTGTGTAACTGTAGTAATGTACACTGGAACAATGATAGCTGAGTACTGCAACCTGCAGCAAGAACTGGCAACCTACTGCAGTATTTTGCCAAGCATAATCTATTGTATTTCAGTATCGCCAAGTATGGAAAAGAGAATTGAAGCAATTGAGTTGTGATTCTTAAGTTGCATCTTAAGGTATGTTGGACAAGCCACACCTCATATAAAGATATTTTGTCAAGAGCAGGTTGTAGGAAGAAGCTGCTGACTCAGAAAGAGACAGTTTGGGTTTCTTTGACACCTTTAAAAAAAAACAAAGAAATTGAAAGACTGGTCGTATGTGGAAAGATCAAAGGAAGGAGAGACCATGGAAGACAGAGGTTGATAGAGTTCAAGAGTCTATCTAAATGGATGAATGTATCAACATTGGAAATACTTTGTGCCTCAAGGAGAAGAGATCAGTGGAAGACCATGGTCACCAACATCCTGTTTAGATATGGTACATAGAGAGGGAGAGATCTGTGGAAGACCATGGTCACCAATGTCCTGTTTAGATATGGTACATAGAGAGGGAGAGATCTGTGGAAGACCATGGTCACCAATGTCCTGTTTAGATATGGTACATAGAAAGGGAGAGATCTGTGGAAGACCATGGTCACCAACGTCCTGTTTGGATATGGTACATAGAGAGGGAGAGATCTGTGGAAGACCATGGTCACCAACGTGCTGTTTGGATATGGTACAAAGAGAGGGAGAGATCTGTGGAAGACCATGGTCACCAACATCCTGTTTGGATATGGTACATAGAGAGGAAGAGAGTAACATGCACATTAGAATCAGGTTATTCCATGTAGTGTGCAGTGTATCCTTAACCCACCTAATTAACAGAATATATTCCTAAGAACACATTTGTTATATATCAGTGTTTTTTTCCCCTCCATTTCTAACATTTTTGCACAGAATATATATAAAAAAAGGGTGCCTCAAATATCTGACCTTCAGGTAATATTGCCCTGACTTATTCTGCTTGTCTGAAATGATGAACTAGAGGGAAGAGTGCTAGTTAACAGCACTCACTGCCAACTGTTGGACTACTCTGGTCGAGTTGTGGGGTTTGACTGTCACTCTTATAACACACTCATGGCTCACAAGTGTGGCAAGGACATGAACCGTGGAGCCTACCAATAGCAACAAAGAACTGTTGCTGTGGGTTTCAATGACCTCATTATTCATAGATGCCCCACTTATCTGATCATGCTCCTCCATTATCTGCAATTACTTCTGTATATATATATCCAAACACAAGCTTTGTTAGAAAATCCACCTGCGACACCTTAATATGTGGGCCACATTTGATCTTGCTAGCTTATGAATAAGTGTATGAACATGGTTTCAAACAAGGTGCTAGATTTGGGTTCATTGACACATTTTATAGCCCCACATATCAGGGAATTATGCCATATAATGACACCACACTGAGCCTCCACATGTCAAGGTTGGTCCTTGTAGCTCCAAAACTGTGGAAGGAGTTTGTAGATAAACAAACAAATTTTGATTGGCTCATGAAGGAATTTCCCAACGTTTGACTGCCTCTACTGAACTTTTCTGCCTCTTTGTTGGTCAAGCTTGATTTTACAAAATTTGTTTATTTTAGTTACCTATGAAATGTGAGGTTAGGGGTATACTATGGGGTGGGAGTGGTGGTGCTTGCCCCATCATTTTTGGCAGGCTATATGCTAGTATTGTAATAAATGACAAAAAATTAAATTTAAATAGATTAAATATTTTAAAGGTAGAAATTTATGTAAAATTTGGAACGAGTTCAATTACAAATTCTGTAATATTAATTGTAACTCGTTAAATAAATCCAGTTTTGATTGATAAATGCAAGCCTCTACTTTCACATTTATCTCAAACCCTAACTTTTATTAAAACTTTCTCTGATTTATCAAAAGTAAATTTTATGAAGGAAATTTAGTTCAAACTACAATATTATAGACAAACTGTGAATATTTAAAAAAAATTCTCTCGTTTAAAAAAAAGACTGATTTTTTCCATTTGAAGTTTGATATGAAGATATTTGACTAAAAGTTTCAAGTTTTGAGAGAGAGAGAGAAAAAGAGGTATAAAATGTGGTAAATAAATCATGTATGCTGCTTTATGTTTACAATTACTAAGTACTAACTGTTCGATACTATTATAACCATCAGACATGCACAAACATTTTTATTTAAGTTAGTAAATTATTACTTTTTCCATTTTTTTCCACAACTCAGGCAGCTGCATTACGAGCCAGTATGTTTCCTGTAACAGGTGCTTTGGTTGGTGGAATTGTGGGAGGACCTCTAGGTTTAATGGCAGGATTTAAATTAGCTGGTGTTGCAGCTGCCGTAGGTGGAGGTGTCTTAGGTAAGTGTTAAGACGTATTACTTATTAAAATTTAACTTGGAGTTAATTAATAACTCATTACATTGTAGAACCCTTATAAAATATAATTTTCATGTAGGTGGAGGTGTCTTAGGTAAGTGTTAAGACGTATTACTTATTAAAATTTAACTTGGAGATAAATAATAACTCATTACATTGTAGAAACCTTGTAAAACAATTTTTACAGGAGTAGTTTTACCTCCAGACTACATGAACCCTTTCTGTACCACATAGCACCTTTTTGGTGTCAAGTGCACACCTACATATCATAACTTAACTTAAAATGCTAATTCTCACTCTTACTCTGTTTCAAGAATTTTAACTCTCAAATATTTTAGAATTGGTGTTTTGTC